CGCCTCCTGACTCCCCCCCCAGGCACTGGACCTCAGCGTCCCGCTCATGGACGTGGGAGAGACGGCAATGGTTACCGCTGACTCCAAGTACTGCTATGGCCCCCAGGGCAGGTGAGAGCCGCCCTGGCCGCCCCACCCCCATGCGCAGGCATCCCGTCCTGCCCACGGGGGACGGGGGGGGGGGGGGACCCGGGACGGGGGCGGAGCGTGGCCGGTGCTGTCCTGCTCACTGGGGGCACCCGGTCCCAGTGTGGCCCCTCTCCCCAGCAGGAGCCCCTACATCCCCCCTCACGCGGCTCTGTGCCTGGAGGTCACCCTGAAGTCGGCGGTGGATGGCCCCGACCTGGAGACGCTGACCGGCCAGGAGCGCGTGGCCCTGGCCGACCGGAAGCGGGAGTGCGGCAACGCCCACTACCAGCGGGCGGACTTCGTGCTGGCCGCCAACTCCTACGACCTGGCCATCAAGGCCATCACCGCCAGCGCCAAAGGTGACCGCCCAAGGCCTCAGCCCTCTGGAACGTTCCACAACTGGCCTAGCAGGCCTCGCCCCCTTTCCAGCCAACGTGGGGGTGATGGTGTCAGGGGCCCCCCACGCCGTGGCCTCCCGGGCCGGCCACACCATGTGTGCTGTCGCCTGCAGTGGACGTAAGCTTTGAGGAGGAGGAGCAGCTGCTGCAGCTGAAGGTGAAGTGTCTCAACAACCTGGCCGCATCGCAGCTGAAGCTGGACCACTACCGCGCCGCGCTGCGCTCCTGCAGCCTGGTGCTGCAGCACCAGCCGGACAACGTCAAGGCGCTCTTCCGCAAGGGCAAGGTGCGCCCCCCATGCCCGGCTCCCCCACCCCGCGTGCCCCCCTCGTGTCCCACCCAGGGCCCAAACGCCCCCTTCCTCCTGTCTCCGCACCCGGTCCCCCTCACCGCATGCCCTCCCCCGTATCCGGCCTACGGCCTTCCAGCCTGGTCCAGGGGTGCCACCTCCTACCCCATTCTCCCCAGGCTTTGGCCTGCGTTGGGGATAGGTGGGCCCTGGGCCTGGTGCACAGATCCTAGTACTCAGCACCATGCCAGGGCCTGGGGTAGGGCTACATGCGGGGGGGGGGGGCAGAGGTACCAGGCCGGCCCCGTCCCGCCCCTCGGGCTTTGCCAGCTCCAGGGCCTCCCTGGCTGCAGGGCTGGAAACCCCCCCTAGATGGCAGTGGAACATGGGAGGAAGACAGCGCCAGGACCCCCAGCGTGACAGGGGCCCGCCCACTCCAGCCTCCCCCTTACCGGCCCCAAGCCCCCCCGGGGTGCAGCTGCAGCTGTGGGTCCTCCTGGTCCTCGCTCCCAGGTGCTGGCGCAGCAGGGCGAGTACAGTGAGGCCATTCCCATTCTGAGAACTGCGCTGAAGCTGGAGCCCTCCAACAAGGTGAGCCCCGCCCCCTCTCCAGCCCCAGGCCACCGCCCCGTGCTGGCATCCAGGCTCTGCACCATGGACAGGGCCTGGGGGACGCTTTCCCGACTCCGGGAGGGGGCAGAGGGCCCGTGGCTGGCAGGGACCCTCAGCCCAGCCCTGCCGCCCGCACAGACGATCCATGCAGAGCTGTCGAAGCTGGTGAAGAAGCACGCAGCGCAGCGCAGCACGGAGACCGCCCTGTACCGGAAGATGCTGGGCAACCCCAGCCGGCTGCCCGCCAAGTGCCCTGGCAAGGGGGCCTGGGTGAGTGCCACCAGGCCTCTGCCTGGTCAAGGGGCCTGGGGATAGCGGCCCTGCCCGAGGTTCAGAGCAGGCTGCAGTGGTCCTTCCAGGGAAGGGGAGGCATGGACAGCGGGGTTTTGGTGTGGTTGTTTGTTTTACCAGTCTTGGGGCTTGAGCTCTTCGCCTAGGCGCTGTCCCTGAGCCTTTTTGTGTTGAGAGTTAGCGCTCTATCCCTAGAGCCACAGCAGCCGCTTCTTTCTCTGAGCAGTTTATTGGAGATGAGGGAGTCTCGTGGACTTTCCTGCCTGGGCTGGCCTCAAACCCTGATCCTCAGATCTCAGCCTCCCGAGGGGTTTATGTATTTTATTTTTTTGGTTGGTTGTGGAGCTTGAACGCTGGGCCTGGGCACTGTTCCTCAGCTCTTCAGCTCAAGGCTAGCTCCCTACCTTGAACCACAGAGCCACTTCAGGTTTTCTAGTGGTTTATTGGAGGCAAGAGTCTCACAGACTTTCCTGCCCAGGCTGGCTTTGAATCATGATCCTCAGGTCTCAGCCTCCTGAGTAGCTAGGATGACAGGCGTGAGCCATCAGCTTTCCAAAGTGTTTTAGGTTTTGATGCGTGTGTAAGGAGTTAGTCAAGGGTGGAGAGATGTGGTAAGCAGTGGTTGGTAGGGGATCGCGTGTCCGCCGTGGCGGGTGACCAAACTGACCATCCTCCCATACCTGCAGTCCATCCCGTGGAAGTGGCTGTTCGGGGCGACCGCCGTGGCCCTTGGGGGCGTGGCGCTCTCTGTGGTCATCGCTGCTCGGAACTGACCGCCTAGGGTCCGCCACCCCGCGCTCCCCGACCTCAGGCTCCATGCCCCGCCCTCCCTTGGCTTCCCCCCGCCTCCCCCCAGGCCAGGCAGGGAGGACCAGGCCCAGCAACCCACCAGCAGGAGAGACAGCCCGGAGGGAGGGGCCTGGTCCCCTGGCCCCCGTTCTCCTGCTCCCCCCTCCCCGGGCTAGGCCTCCCCTGGCTGGCCTCAGTTTCTCCTCAGCAGGCCAGGGGCAGCACCACAACCCCCTCCTCCATCCCTCGCACTGCCTGCTGCCCCATCCAGGCTCCCACCGTGAAATAAAGTCTCCCCTGCACTCTGTGTCCAGCTCTTTCCCTGCGGCTGGCTGGACCAGCGAGGCCCACGCCACTCCCCGGGTCACCCAGGATGCTGGCCGAGCCAGGCTGCGGCCTGCTCCGGTCTGCTCCAGGGTCTCTTCCCTGCATGGGGGCCCTGCTTGTGCCGCTGCTGAGGAATGATGGGGCCGGGAAGGAAGGAACAGCTGAGGGGCTCGGGCTGGGGCCAGGGCCGGCAGGGCCCCTCCCTGGGGCTGCTTCTGACCTCAGGATCTGCAGCCCAAGCCCTGGGAGGCAGCCACTGCAAGGGCCCTGGGGTATGAGGGTGTGTTGGAGTTGGTGTCTGTGGGCCTCTGGGCTTGGGGGTGCGTGGGACTCTCCCTGAAACCCTGCACATCCTGGTGCTGGCACGGTTGAAGCTTCGAGGCTACTCTTATGGCTGTCTTGCCTTCCAGAGGGAAGAAAAAGCGCACAGCCCACCCACACCAGCACTGCACTTGGGAGGGCACGGGACACAGGGCCGCCTGTGTCCAGGCCGACCTGAGGCCTGGTTCCTTTCCCCAGGCCTCAGTTTCCCCAAGTGGGGGGAGATGGAGGAGAGCACTGCGGGAGCAGTTGCTGGTGCCAGCCTGGGGCCTGGAGCATCCTCAGGTCTCACTGTGTGGGGTCACATCATCATCTGAGGAGGAGGATCTCCGTGTGGCCCAGCTGGCTTTGAACTTCCATCTCCCAGGACTTTTTCTTGTTCATCCTGGCTTCAAACTGCCATCCTCAGATCTCAGCCTCCTGGACCCAGTGCCTGCCACCCCCATATACTTTATATTTTATTTTTTTGGTCGATCGTGGGCTTGAACTCTGGGCCTGGGCGCTGTCCCTCAGCTCTTCCAGCTCAAGGCTGGTGCTCTACCACTTGAGCCACAGTGCCACTTCTGGCTTTTTCTGCTGATGTGGTGCTGAGGAATCGAACCCAGGGCCTCCTGCATGCAAGGCGAGTGCTCTACCACTTAAGCTACAGCGCCACTTCTGGTTTTCTGGTGGTTCATTGGAGATCAAAGTCTCGTGGCCTTTCCTGCCCGGGCTGGCTTTGAACCACGATCCTCAGATCTCAGCGTCCTGAGGAGCTGGGGTGACAGGCGGGAGCCCCGGCGCCTTCCTCTCGTGCTTCCTCGTGACCTCCCAGCAGGTGGGGGTGGATTTGGAAGCGGGTCCCACGGCACGGGCCGCCCCGCGGGGGGAAGGCGGACGGCCACCCCGGCCATGCCCATCGGCAGAGGGGAGGACGGGCCTAAAAACGAAGCCTGAACCCGGCCCTTGCCCATGGCCAGTGCCGGCGATGGACGCACAGGAAGCCTGGCGGGGCGGCCGGCCCGAAGGCGCGGCCCCGGGGTGCGGGGAAGGACGGGGGTCCCCGGGTGTCCGGGCGGCCGGGGCGGGGCCGGCTCCAGTGCCCCGGAGCCCCGCTCCCCGCGGGGGCGGCGGCGCTGACGTGGGCCGGAAGTCCCGGCTGGAGGTTGCACAACTTGCGGCGTCACCGGAGAGCTTGTCAATAAAGCCTTGGCTATCCTTTTCCTGGTATCTTTTGAGAACGGAGCCGGGCTCCGCGGCGCGTCGGATTCTGCTCCCCGAAGGCTGGCCTGTGCTCGGCCCCGGGGGCGCCCGCTGGCCGCTCCCCAGCTCCCGCGGCCCATCCTGAGGTGAGCCACAGCGGCTCCACCGCGCCTCGTTTGCATAACCACGCCCGCTGCGCCACACGTCACCCGCTGGCCCCGCCTCCCACGTGTTGTGCGGTGGCCGCGCCCCCTCCACGCCTTCGCCGCTGCTCTCAACAGACGCCAAAAACGGAAGCCGCTGGGGGATCTCATAAATAATGCATCACGTCAGCACCCGGCAGGGCGGGGCCGCGGCGCGCCGGGTCCCGTCAGGTCGTGAATAATACATGTGGAGGCGGAGCTTGGGAGGATGCGCGTGTGAAGGCGGAGCTCGTGCGCCCCAGCGGCTGCTTATAGCTGCTATGAATATGCATGAAGGGGCAGTGACCAGGAATTTTACGTTACACGTAGGGGGCGTGGCCTGTCCTTACGTCATGAATAATATGGTGCGTCGGTGACCCACAGGGCCGCGGCCGTTGGCTCTCAAGGCACCGGGGGCGTGGCCGAGCACGCTCATGAATAATGCAGCACGTCGGCGGGGCGGGGCCGGCGCGGCGCCGCTGGAGCCGGGAAGTGGGGGGCGGGGGAACGATGGTCGCAAGATGGCGGCGCTGAAGGAGGCTCGGAGCTACGGGCTGTCCTGCGGGAGGGTGAGCGACGGCAGCCGGGTGTCCGTGTTCCACGTGAAGCTCACCGACAGCGCCCTGAAGGCTTTCGAGAGCTACCGCGCCGGCCAGGTGAGCGGCGCGGGGTCCAGGGCGGCTGCG